GTGTAAATGTGATCAGTGTGCGCTGCAAATATTGTGTTCAAGTGTTGGTCGCTGCGTGTTTTGCGTTGTTGTGTTTCAAGTGTGGGTGGAAATTGAGCTGAAAATGTTTGTAAGAAAAATGTACAGCCCAAAATGGCAGTTAATTTGAATTGTGCAATTACTTTGCACTTGCAACATCAACTGGTAAGTCTGCATGCCCAAACACTAACTAACTACTAAGATGCTATAATTTCCATAAAGTTTTTCCAACGCAATGTAAACTGTTTAGTATATATATGAGATATGTATGTATGTATGTGTGTACGTACACAGTTATATCTATCTGTTCCAAGTATGTATTTGTTTGTGTAAACTGAATAAAATGTTTGCTGCTCAAAATGTTCTGTGTGTGTTTTTTTTTCGATTGTTATCGTTATTGTTGTTATTAAGGAACGACGAATGAACACGGCCCAAAACAAACTTTATATTTTGCACATTTGTGTGTGTGTTTTTCTTCTGTTTGTGTTCAATTGCAGGCCAGCATGGACAATTTATTGCCGAGCTGCCGTCGAGCGTTTGGATGCACAAATATGAGTATTTCTTTGTGCGCAACCAGAAGCAGGGCTACAATCTGATCTTCAATGGTTATATGTACAAGAAGGAGGCCAGCTTTCGGGCGACCATCAACTGGATCTGCTCGGACGGCAATGGCAAACGGATCAATGAGAATAAATGTTCGGCACGTGCAATTACCAAATTCGATGGTGGCATCAAATTGGGCAAAAATGCCCACAATCATCCGCCACGATTTACGGGCAATTCGGTGCCCGCCAAACTGATGACGAAGGAAATGCTATTGTCCCAATATACGAACAATTAAAGAAGAATGAATGCAAATGTCTTGTAGTTTATTTAGTTGTCTTTAGTACGTTAATGCTTAAGGCTTATATTGTAGATCTATATTTATCGGGCATAATATATGTATAATCTCTTTTGGCAGCCGTCAAGTACAGGCGCACGGCCAACGGGGAGTTTCTGTTGATCCAGGGACGCTCGTACAAGAAAACCCGTGCAATGCAATATCGCACTTATTATCACTGCATGACGCCCAACTGCCCTGCCCACTATATACTTGGAGAGCTGAGTCGACGACCGCGTTTGACCAAGTGCAATGCACACGCGAAGCACTGCAAATGCGCAAATGCGACTAGCATATCATAATGATATATAAAAGATCATGTAAATAGTTGACTAAATGAAAACCAAATGAAAATCAAAAGACCAGTCTTTTATTTACCCCAAAAAATGAATAGAAAGAAAAGATACAAACAGTTCAATTGTTAGGCAGTGTGTTTATTTTAATGCTGAAACCGTTTCACATTCTCTTCTCTTTAATTGCAGTCAAATTCGACTATCAGATCAGCTTAGATGTGGGCGATGATGCCGCCCTGCTGGAGTGCCAGCTGCGTGGCTCGAATGCGGCTGACATCAATGCGCCGTTCTTCATTGTCAGCAAGTATGGCACCAAGCAGATTATGCTCAAACAGCACACATTCAATCGGCACATAACACGCGAGGATGTCACCTATTGGCGCTGCAGTCAGTTTGCCGTGCTGCGTTGCCGGGCACGATTAAAAACGAAGCTGGACACGCTCACCATCCTCAACAGTGAGCACAATCATGAGGTCATCTCGAAGGCCCGCAAATATGGTTCCCTGAAGCGACAGCGTGCCGAGGCGGAGGCAGCCGCCCGTGCCTCCGATCCGCTGCGAATCGATGCGAAAGATGAGCCGGGCAGCGCCTAAACTATTAGTTATTAGTCTTAAGCCTAATGTACATACGTAAATAGCAAAAAAAAAAAAAGCGGAGAAAGAAAAGTGAAAATCGTTAATTATATAATTACATTTTAGTGACTGACCTTTCGAATCCATACAACATTTTACGCTCTCAATGTTTTTTTTAAATAAAAAAAAAGGCAAGTTAGCTTTGTGCCCCATTTTGTGAACTATTTGTACAACTATTTATATAGGCGCTTTACTTTGATTTCGATGCTTTAATCGCAAATTCAACTAATGTGTTTCTCTGTTTCTTTGAATTTCCGTAGATGCCATGTCCTATTACTCCTACATAACGGGCTTCCGTGGCAGTCGCAAGCTGAAGATCGGCGAGTTCACCTTCACAAGGAATAAGGCGACGGGAGCCAAGACATATTGGTCCTGTGCACGCGCTGGCGCCCATAAGTGCAAGGCGCGCGTCGTCACCGTCGAGGATCATGATGTGATCGTCAAGTGCAGCCAGCACAATCATCCGCCATACTAGTCCTGTTTTTTTTTAGTCTTAGGCATTAATTCGTTTAAATAAAACATTAATTTCATTAACAAAACCCGAATGTTGCATCTGCAAAATGTTGCCGCCCACCAAAGACCAACGACTCGCCTACACTTTAAGTAGTCCTTCGCACACAAATACTAACTGCTTATCTTATATTAATTGCTTCACAGATGGCTGTTGCGATGCTCTGGATGAACTGGATCATCTAAATGTTGCCGGTGTTGTTATCAAGCATTCGCTTCTCTCGTTTGTCAAGGGTCAGCGTGGCTGCAAACTGTTGGCTTTCAACGGGCACAACTATGTGCGGAATCGTCGCAGTGGCCTGAAAACCTATTGGATATGCTCCAAGAAGGTGAGTGCTTCACATTTGTTAGTATCTTTATATCTATTAAAGTCCTTGTCATCTTGCAGGGCAGCACCAAGTGCAGTGCACGCGTCGTCACCAATGTGATTGAGGGCGTACATAAAATTGTGCTCGAGTCCTGCCACCATACCTGCCACAACATCGATCGCAAGAAGCGTATTTCCATTATCAGTCCGCTGGTCAAAACGGACAAAGCATCCGCATTGGCCAAGGCAATGACGAGTTTTGTTAAGACCGAAACGGATGAGGATTTGACGCTTGAGCTGCGATCGCTTAATCTAAGCTTCGAAGATCTGCAGCAATTGCAATAGCCATAATGTGCAAGTTAGAATTATTAGTTGGCTAAGAGACTTAACTTAAAAATAAAATAAAAATGGACGCAACTCATAAGTCCATAAGTAATTATACCTCAATTGTAACAAAAAGCACATAAATATTTTGTTATAGAATAAGTTGTGCGATGTGCATTTAATTTTCTCCTAATCCAAATATGTTTTGTGTCTTTCAGTGCACATCCAGGTGATCAGTACACAGCGGCGTGCTTCGGCACCGGCGCTGCTGAAGCGTGTGCGTCTGGCCAAGACCATGGAGGATATACAGTATATTAAAACGGCGGCGGGCAATTGTGTGTTGCACTGTGGCGAGCATCGGTATTTACGGAACGCCTCCTACAAGGACAAGGTCTACTGGAAGTGCAGCAAGTGGCGCAAACAATGTCGCGCCAGAATCATCACAAATGCCACGGACAATGGACAGGCGCGCTACGCCATCAGCGGTGTACACAATCATACGTAGTTCCATCTGTCTACCGAGCATGATATTAGCACAATGAGGCAACCTAACCCAACTGTAGATTAGTTACTAATTAAATAAATAGTTAAAATTTGGCATTCATTTGATATTGACTCGGGTAAGTTTTGGCACAACTTATTTATGATTTATCGCTTAACTTTTGTTTTATTTCTTCATTTTTTAGCTGTCGCAACTAACGGTTTTATTTACAACTGGATTTAATTAACCTATGCGAATTATAAGAATAAAAATTAAATAAACTTATAAGTTGCTATTCATCTCAATCATAACTAGAACTATTTTGTTGTATTTCATTATTTAGCTCAGTGCTTTCTAATTTGTTTGTTAATTTGACGCTAAAGTAAATGATATTAATCTGACTACTCTTTTTGCAGCGCTTGCCGAACGGAGTCTCAACAATCTGGGCGACTATGGCAACGAAAGCTTTCTGCCCCGACAACGTGGCAAGGTGCGCAACAAAATCGTCACTGGCTTGATCACGGGCAAGATCAGTCGCACCCTGGACGATTGGGATCGTGTGCGCTACAAGCGGACGGTCAACGGTGATGTCCTCATTTACGATGGTCAACGTTTCAAGTGCAGTGGCACGTACAACGAGACCGTTTACTGGTCGTGCATCCGCAAGAATCACAACTGCAAGGTGTACATGATCACCAACAAGAACAAACCCACCGATGTGGCCATATCAGGCGTGCATAATCATGCCTAGAGACGAGAATTCCTAAACAAAAACAGAACCATAAAACATTTCGTTCTGTTTTCATTTTTTTTCTTCTTATCAATCTCAATAAATATTTGTACAACATTCAGCGATATGCTAGCGTTATAATTGCCCAATAATCTATGCACTATTTTAATGATATATCTTTGTGAATCATTGCTAAATGTTTGCTGCAACCCATTTCAGAGCTGGCGGTCTTTGGCACGGGTCAGCGTGGACGCACCGTGCTGCTGCACGACGAGCAGAAGTTTGTCAGGAATCGCAGCTCCGCCAAGCGCACCTACTGGATATGCTCACGCAAGGTACAGACTAACTATATTAATCATAAATATAATCATTTTTAAGCTATCTTATCTATTTCCATGCCGCAGGATGTGACGGTTTGCCGGGCACGCGTTGTCACCGCCTTGGATAGTGCGGGTAATGCGAGGATCATTAAGCGCAACTTTGAGCACAATCACAAGCCAAAGTTTTTGCATCGGGGCGTCAGCATATCCCATCAGCTGGCCATCATTAAGAACGAGGAGACGACGACGACGGCCAATGCGGCCCTGGTGAAAAGAGGGAAACCAAAATCCAATCTTTTGCCGGTTGCTCTCAAATAAGCTTAGGCTTAAGCGCAAAATCACGTTGTTTAGTTAATTGAGCCCAAATAAATTACAATTACAGCGGACTTCTTACTTATTATCTGCATTGACTATTCCATTATAATTAGCACCTATTTGTTTTATATGTATATATATCTATTATAATATGTCACTAATCGTGTTTCTCTCTTTTGGCCACTTGCAGCATTTCACATTGATTTCGCGGACTCGAAGAAGAACGGCGGCAAGCTGCTGGTCATCAATGGTTTCCGTTTCTTTAGGAATAAGAAACGGGGACATTTGCAGTATTGGAAGTGTCGCAACTATTACAAGGAACGCTGTCCGGCCATTGCCATACACGATGAGTCGACGCTGATCCTTAGATTGTGCCACCAGCACCAGCACATGGAGAGCAATGATATCGAAATCAAACCGTTTCTGACCGCCGTCAAGGAGCATTCGGTTGGCGGCGAGCAACGGAATGAGGAGGAGAACCGTGAGCAGCAGCTGCTGGAGATGGACAACCGGGAGCAGCAGCTGCTGGAAGTGGAGAGTCGTCAGCAGCAGCTGCTGGCGGTGGAAAGCTGTGAGCAGCGTTTGGTTAAAGTGAAAGCGCTCGAGCAGCAGCCGCTGGAGCTGTGCCCCGCCCCCAGCAGTGAACATAGCGTCGATCAGGAGGTTATCCTACTGTCGCCTTCCCCGCAAAAGTCGCGACCATCGCCATCCCTAACGCCGCCACCGTTGCGCGGCTTCAAGTCCAAGCATAGCTTCAACTTTTAGTTACATGTATTTCAAATGCTAGCTCTTAAGGGTGTTAATCTCTGTGTGTGTGTGTCTGCGTGTGCGTGTGCGTGTGTGTCTATTAAAGCAAAGAAATGTCGAAGTGGTTTTTCAATGTAAGCAACTGCAATTGAATCGCTTAATCTTTGCAGCAAGCGCAGCTTAAACTAATCCTAGAAATGTATTCTCTTTTACTTTTCCGATCTCGTTTTTCAGTTTCGACACACGGCCAGTACAGCGGCAGCAAGCCGAGGATTGAGTTCTCGGTGTCGAAGCGAGGAGGACAACTGCTTTGGTTGGACGGCCTCAAGTTCTTCCGGAACAACGAGAATCGAACGAACTTCTTCTGGCGCTGTCACTGGTATTATCGCCATGTCCGCTGCCCAGTTCTCATCTGCATGAATAAGTTTGACTACAGCGACTTTCGTCAGATTCATCAGCATTGCCACGTCAAGCCGGATCGCAAGGAGAAGCAGCAGCAGCAGCGGAGAACGTTGCCGGCGGCAAGAGTTGGCCGTGTGCCAACTCTGTTGCCGGCTGTTGTTGGGCTCGATGTCGACGCGGAGATCTTCAATATCGATTAAGTGACTTTCAAAAATACGTTTTGTGCGCTTGTAAATAAAATGAAAAACAAAAAAGAAAAAAACTAAACAACTTAAAGTCAACTACGAACATATCCCACTTGAACCACACTGCTAATCCTCAACTAAACTCAATACTATTTTTACACTTTTACTTATACGTTTTGTTTGTTGTGTGTGCATTTCCATTTGCAGTTGTGCTGGCCAACGAGGAGGTGCCCAATCCGGAGGATGTGCTCGTCTTTTTCACCCAATCGCTGCGCGGACGACCGGCCATCATGGCCAACGGCATCCGATTCCTGATCATGAGCGAGAACAAGAAGAAGATACTGTGGCGTTGCAGCTCGATGGCCACCAAGAAATTAAAGTGCCCGGCACGGATCACCATGCTCAAGGAGAATCCACCGAAATTCATCATCAACAAGGCGGAGCACATGCATGCCGAGCTCAAGCGCAACAAATACAGCTCGAGCAAGGTGCACGTGATGACCCATGCCCAGGCACAGGCGCAGGATGCGGCCCAAATAAAGCTCGAGCGCGAAATGGAGGAGGGCGCCGTCAGCTTCGAGCTGCACCAGGAGGAGGTGCACGAGCTGCACGAGCTGACAGACGATGCCCTCTAGATCATCTGATTACAAATTAGACATAGCACTTGTATAGTTGAGATCGCTAAAAACAAAAACGTTATAACTATATCTAAGAATAAATTATAAATTGTACCAATGTGGCAAACAAAAAAAAAGAAAGAAGCAGAATTGTGCAGATATTGCTAAGCGTATAATTATTCTATATAGATATTGTATATATATATGTATATAATTACAATGATATTAATATGCCAATAATATTGTTTCAGAGCTGGAGAACTTGAGCTATGTAATGAGCCAAAAGGGTCGGATCATCTTGCAGCACGATGGCTTCTTCTATGTGCGGGAGAAGCGCATCAATAAGAAGACCTATTGGAGATGTTGTCTTTATACGACGGCCAGGAAGTGTCACGGCCGGATTCATTCGCTGAACGGGCAAATTGTGCAGACAAGCAAACATAATCACAGCAGCGATGAAAACGGACGCATCAGGAGAAGATCCTTAAACGCCAGCTGGAGTTGACCAAAGATGGCAGCTAGAAATATGACATAAGCAGCAGTATTTTTATATACACCTAGTATTATATAGCAATAAATCAATTTCAAATGTAATCCCAACAACTGGTGCTCAATAGATAATTATCATAATTAGTTATTATATTGTTCGCACTAATTGTATTTCTCATTCTCAATTGCAGATTGCATGCTGTTTGCGAGTTTTACGAGCACACGGAAAAAGAAGCGAAAACTGCTGATTGATGAGCATGAGTTTGTCATGGATCGCAAATTGAAGAGCAGCATCAATTGGCGATGTGCGCGCTATCGCAGTGCCAACTGCAAGGTGCGAGCAACGACGCATCAACTGAAGAGTGGCATGGAAGTGTATCGACTCAAATACGCCAAGCATTCGCATCAATGAGAGACATGGGATCCACATCACACCAAATTCAACTATAATTTACGTTCCACAACAACTGATTCCAGTTGGATTTTAGTTTAGCTTTTTTCTAGCCATAACGACAGCTGCATTCATAATAAATGCTGTTGTTGCCAATCAAAGAAAATCATAGAAAATCTCTTATGCATACTTTAGTTAACACTTTAAATCATGCCCCATCCCATTCGATTGCCTGGCTAATTGTGCTTTTATTTGCGTATTTATATTCTTGCAGAACTGGTTCGCAAACAGGGCATAATGATTGTTAAGGGCACCAAAGGCAAACCGAAACTGTTAATGGCCGGCTTTGAATACTTTCGCAACAACAGTCGTGGAACGAAAACGTATTGGCTCTGCGCCCGCAACCGTTATCTGCGCTGCGCTGCCCGCATCATAACATGTTCCAGCACCGGCGAATTGGTCGTCAAAAATCAACAACACAATCACGGTCCACAGATCACAATGCAGCCCAGCAGGAAACAATCGCCGGAATTAGGCACTTCCATTTCGTCGCAGTAGCTGCAAACCAAAGTTTTCGCTTCTTCTTTAGTTAATAAAAAGTATTTCTTGCAGGTTGAGCATTTGATTGGATTTTTTTTAGCGGGCAGCAGTTGTTAATCTAACAGTGTATTTTTATTATTTCATAGCCTCAGATTGCATCAGCTGAACTTATTGGTTGCAAAATAACATTTATTTATAGATCTGTTTTATTGAAGGTGACACGCTCAAAACCGGGTTCAAGTTTCTAAAAATAATAATTTTCGACAAAGCATCCGATTTTAATGCGCAGTTGCAAATTAAATGACTTGGCTGATATGATAAATAGAAGAATTCCAATTGAAGTAAGTCAGTCGTTGGTAGTGGATTCCAGTGTGGATTTGTAATACGAAGCATATCTCTTACTACAGTTATTTCTGTTGCTGTCGCAAAGTGATATTTTACACTTCACTTTGCTAATTTCTTGTGTAAACGTTGTGTGTTTTTTTTGTTTACAGAAAAGCTTCGCATGTCAAAGAATGGAGGAGACAACAAGAAATCTGATTCACAATTTCAGTCCAACAAATCCCTAGCGATGTGTGTGATATTCCACGATACACACACATATACACACATGTACAATATACACAACACATGCACATTCATGGCAAAGCTGAACAAATAGGGATGAGTAGCTGCATAACAGTAAACAGCGTTAAATGACTGCGATTAAGACTAAAGCTGCGCGCAAAAATTAACAATTAACTTGATTGTCATTTTAATGATATTTATTTTATTTAATAAGCAGAACAGTTCTCATATCTTTCGACAGTTTGAAATTCGAAAACATAAATAGTAGCTGTTGTTAACGATTGCGACTAAGTGAACAGACTCAATAGATTTACGCAACTCTATACATAAAAATATTTTCATATTGATCAAATATAATATAATAAGTAACAACAATGTCCTTGCAGCTCAAATGAGTTTTCGGTTTTTTTCAGTCGCTCCGTGGAACCAGTTCACAGTTATCGATAGTATCGCGCAATGTATCGTCAATAAATTTGGAACATATCTAGACACCGTTACCTGACTCGCTCATTCTTTTTCATAGAATCGTAGCGTACGGACGTCTCGCGCGTCGCGTAGACATTTTATTATTTTCTCAGCTACTGGCAGAGCAGTTGCTGCGCGCAGCCAGCAGCAGCAGCAAATAAGAAAGACAGAATTTGTGTATTGCAGCAGAAGTTTTCGCTGCGCACAGGCTGTGCCGCTGCTAGCGAGACACTGTCAAAAGAAAAGTGAGAAAATTCTGTGGTGTGTAGAATAAACTGCAACAAATATAACTGCTACGAGCAAGAAAAACATTAAGTTCAAGGTTTAATTCCAAACCGAAGTTCAAATCGAGTAAAAAGAAAAAACTGTGTGCAGATTTTTTGTATACACTGTCGCGTGCGTGTGTGTGCTTGCGTCTGTGTGCGAGTGTGTGTGTTAGTGCGTGAGACTGCTGCATTTTATAAAATACAAATTCAACTCGCTCAATTAACAAAAAATGATGTGAAAGAAATTTAACATTGTCTCGTCGATAACTCTCTCTCTCGGTGTGTGTGGAAAAATATCTAAACCCAATTACTCAGTTTGCTCTCAGTTTAATTCGATTGACACAGAGGCAGCAGCAGAGAAGCAGCAGCAGTAGCCCCAACAAAATATACACAAGGCGACAGACTTAACTTTGCCCACTGCGCCGCTGCTGTTGGTGGTGGTGGGAGATGCACACACACACACTACAACAACAACAAGAGACGACAAAGCGCTGCTCTCAGCTCTGCTTTTGCGCAGTCAGAGTACGCTCTGAATTCGCCGCATCGCTGTTTGGAAACACCTTGCTCCAATATATTATTTTGCCTCGCCTGCCCCCCGCCTCCCGCATATCGACAACACTTTGTGAGCACAAAGAGCAGCGCACGATTCTGTTGCCGTCACCGTCTCAGTCTCAGTAGCAGTCGCGGCGTATTGCGATTCTTCTTTGGCTGCAGCGCAAAAATTCGTCTGACATCGTCGCAGCAGCAGCAACAAAGAAAAGATAAAAATTTTCTTTATTTTATTTTTTTGTTGGGTTGTACATTTTTGCCAATGCTGCATGCGATATTCTTTCAATTTGCAAACGGCTGAAGCTGAAGCTGCTGCAACAACAATAACTACAAGCAGAACAACAAAGCAGGAGCAGCGGCTTCAACATTGTCGCCGCGTCGCAGCAGCAGCATCGCCAGCCCATTTTACTCGACATGTACTACAACAACAACAACAATAATAGTGACTACAAGCAGAGCAACAACAACTGCTACAACATCCAGAACAACAACTGCTACAACATCCACAACAACAACAACACTAGCGACGCTAACATAGAACAGGTTTGTCTTGCAGCTTTAGCATTATTTCTCTTTTTTAATTCTTTTGCCTTTGCTATTAAGATTTGCTGTAAATTGCTATACATTTTAAGGGAGAAAAAAAGGTTTATTAACTAAACAAAAAAAAAACTACTTTGCCGTTTCCGCAGTCGCTGCCTCAGTCGCTGTCGCTGTCGCTGCCTCTTACTCTTGCTCAGTTTCGCTTCGTTTTCGTTTCGTTCGCTTATTCATAACTTTTTTTTTGGTTATAGATTTTTGTCACCCACTCCCACTGCCCCTCCTCTCCCCACACCCACTTTTGACTTGGCAGCCAACCTATGCTTTGGCATCTCCACCCCTCCCCTCCACTCACATGCTGCTCAACTGTTTCAGTTTTTCAATTATTAATGGTGGCCATTAGAGCGCCCGCTTGCGCCGCCACGCCCCCGTCCTGTCCCCTCGTCCCACGCCCCCGTCCTGTCCCCTCGTCCCTCGTGTATCGTGTTTGCCGTGTAGACTATTATTTTTTCTCTCTCTTTCTCTTTTTTTTCCTGTTCTTTTCTTTTTTGCTTATCGGACAAATTGTGTGTTGTCTGAAAAGTTCAATGAGGTGCGCGCACTGCAATTGCACTTCGCTCCTGTCACATTTATGTTATCGACATATTGTTATATATACAAATGTATATATATATATATATCTATATATGTATATATATGTGTACATACATGATAGATAAAAATCATGTTGCTTTGCATTGGGGTTTTTGTGTTGTTCAGATAACGATAGCATTTCCGAACCCGCAGCACAACGGAAATGCGTTGCATTAAGTGAATTACACTCGCTTGGGTGTCTACTGTATACCCCACCCACTCTCCCTCCTGCTCGACAGTTGTTTCTGAGTGTTGACTAATTTACGTCTGTGTGTGGGTGTTGGGAACGAAAAGCTGTGACTACAATACTTGGATTACTTCATGGCGATAAGCTCAATGGACAGAAAGTAGACTCCGCAATTTCCAAGAAAAAAATGAGTTTTTTTTTCTGCGTTGTGCAAATTTTGATGTGCATATATCATCATTATAGTTGGTTGGGCATAACAGTCATACAATACAATCTTGAGACAACAGATCAAGTCTTTTAGTCAACGCAGAGAGAAATGATATCACTATATACAAGCTAATTTAATTAATCATGCAAAAAATCAACAATTAAGAGTGCGTTAGTGCAAATGACTACCTCTAATTTTGGGCATATTTTTTTAACGTACATTTTGAGTACTAACATGTCTCTAGGAAAACTCTGAGCTGAGTGTTTAACTGTGGTAATTTCATGTTATTTTAATTTCATCTTGGAGTTGCCTATCTCTTCTTTATTTTCGCACTCAATCTGATTCACGTTTGATTGAATATACTTAAATTTGCATATTTGAGTTCAATTTTAAGTATTTTCAGAATCATAGCAAAAATTGTTGAAGCATTTAATCGAACTATTTATATCTATTATTTCTTAATTACTTTTGATTTTAAATTTTCATTAAATTTTGTATTTTAAATGGTTTAGTTTTAATTTGTATTTTTCATTTGTATTCTTCAGTAAATAAATAAATGTACATAAAAAATCAAACCAATATCTAAATATTTCTATATAGTTATAGTCTTAACTCATTTATTAACAACTTTCTACTTTGTCTAGTAGAATACTATCCCATTGAATCATACTTTTATCTTACCTGTCTTGAAAATGTCGTGCTTCTTGTACAATTTATGCAACACTTACTGTTTGTCGAAAACTTTATTATCCCAGCTTAACCTTGCGTAACCCAGGCTCTTTGTCTTCTACAGGACACATATGCACACACATATGTGTGTGAGTGTGTGTCTTTTGCTACCCTCAGTAAAGTGTTGTGCCCACAAAAACAACCAACCCAACAATTTGCCACAAAACCAATAAAGTTATTTCACAGTCAAAATGATAGCTAACCCCGCATTCAAGCCAAAATGTACCGGCTGAGTCCATTTGATAATTGCTTAAAGCTGGACGTCGGCGCATCTTTCAACGTGGCCCCCTCGCAACACTTTGTCATGGTGCATATGCGAAAACACATGCGAGACTCGTGTGGCGTTGGGCCGCATATGTTGCTCAAAGAGTGATTATTTTCACTAAAAATAAACGAAATTAATGATTGATGAAGTGTGACAAGGGAGCGAAATGATGCCCTTCCCCACACCCCGCACCCCGCTCCCCCTTGTCGATTGTCTGGCATGTGGCAACAACAGCATCGGGAGGAGCAGTGCCAACCCCAGACCCAGATCCAGAACGATGCCAAGAGTTCCGTTCACATTTGAGATGGGCAAACAAAGAGCAAACAATACACAGCAACGAAACATTTCAATCGTAATGAGAAATAAGCCGCTGCGCATGAAGAAGGGAGAAAGTGTCGTCGTTTAATTGTAACCAGGTGGAAAGGAGGTGTTTTTCCCATTCGAGCATCGAAGCCCGTTGATGGAAGCTGCTGTGTTTATTGTTGCCAGTTGCTTCTTAGCGGATTCACGGGTCCAGCGCAGCGCAGCGCAGCGCAGCATTTTGTCGCAGTCCGCTGCCAGACGGAAATCATAAAAACGTTGCATAAAAATATTTTTATGTGTCTTCGCCGTTGTCGTTTGTCGTCTGCATCTTCGGGCCGGGCAAAAATAATAATAAAATGGGAATAAAATAAAACAAGTGACATAAGACGCCAGGACGCAAAGCGTAACGGGTTGGGACGGGACAGTGGATGGGATGGGGATGGGACACAGCGTGTGCAATGTGGTATGGGTGACCGTGCCACATTCATTTCGTTTACATTTACTTGACAAGTTTTGCAGTGCGACAACGAGGAGTCGCTCGAATACCCTGCAACTAATAGAAAACGGTCAAAAAGGGGTATAGACCGGCAAATAGGCATTGGATTTATGATAAACTAAACAAGTGCATGAGTAGCTCGGTCGTAGCTGGACCAGTTGAACAGTACTCTCTGAAAAAGATAAAGCTGAATTTTAGAAACTTATACAATTCTAAAAATTAGAAAGGTTTCTTCTCTTATTTTTCAGAAATTTACTTCTTAATAATAGAAAATAGTGCTAAAATGTAGAAATGTAAACCTGAAACTCAGAAACAAGTAATGAAATTTAGTGACTTCTTTAATGTTAAGTTTTATGAATAAATAAACTATCTAAAATGTTTATATAATAATTTATTAGTAATATAAGCAACAAGAACGCGAATGTTAGAAAAATGCCTAGAAAAACATATTTACAAAATGTGATTTTTAGAAATATACTTTCTGAATAATCATTTTTAAAATGCAGGGTGATATTTTTCTGAAATGATATCCATAATCAGTGTATAGGTTATGGCTTAGTCGAGCATTCTCGACTGAAGCACTTTTACTTATTGTGTTTTCCTCGGTTTTGGTGTGGTGCGATGTGGTGCTGTGTAGTGTGGTGTGGTGTGGTGTGGTGTCTGTTTGCCATTTCAGTGCAGGCCACGGCGCTGTGCATGTCATCAACAACATCATCAGCGACTCCGAGTCTGCCTGTTAGACTCCGCCAAGACACAGCTAACTGCTGGAGTCGGGCTATGCTATATGCGGCTGTCGCTCTTCTACTGTTTTATAGTACAAACGTGATGGAAAATTGTGGCCTGTGTGCATATTTTTGTTGCCTTGATAGCGTCTTTTCTTGGGCTTTGCCCATTGCCTGCTGTGCGGCGTTTTCTGCATTTTCGTGCAGCTGGGTTAGGGGATTGGGCTCTGACATTTTCCTGCAGAGACGCGGGCTCGCTTGCCCCGCCGCTCGGAAAAATAAATTAATGTGAAACATGCAAACATAAATTCCTTTTCTATTTTCTTTTTGTCTGCTTTTATTTGGTGGCTGTCAGGTGTTTCACATTTTAAACGTAAATTATGAATAAAGCGAAACACACACAGAGAGACAGACAGACAGACAGACAGACAGATAGCTGGAGAAAATTATAATTCCGCCTAAATGTTTTATTGGCCACCGCCTGCTGCTGTCCGCCTCATTTCCCATTTCCATCTTCCCCATTTTGGCCTATTGAGCGACGTTTCTTTTGTGGCCAATTTAATTTTATTTAAATTAATGATGAAGCTTATAATTGGCCTCGTTTCTTGGTCGCTTCTACATTTTTCTTCTTGCTTCTCTTTTTTTTTGAAGTTCTGTATTTTTTTTTATGTAGACACTTGAGAGTGTGAATGGCAGCGACATATCTAGCTTCATCTACAGCTCCAATCTCCATTACAATCTCCAACTCCGCATCACATATTCGACTCCGTACATTCATTCTGTACATGCACAAAGGCATCTGCAGCAGCAGCAGCAGCAGCAGCAGTGGGAGGAGGAGGATGAGAAGGAGGAGCATCATCAGCATCAGGTTTTCTTTTTGGCTTTTTAAGAGCATTTGACATGACTTGGGCTTCCATGCGATATGCGCTTCAACTTTGATTATGACGTGAAGTTGGCCAAGTGCAAATACTTTGCTGGTACTTTTTAATTAACTTAATTAGCATAGATGATGGGCTAAGAGCAGCGCTTACACAACATGAAAATTGCATTATGTCTTCTCCTCCAACTCGCATGCGAAACTTGGCCAAATGTCAGGCAGTTGTTACTGGGGGTGGGGTGTGTCTGTGTGTGTGTTTCTGGCCTTTTGATTTTGGCTGTGTCAGCCACATATACAATGCTTAGGGTTGGGGGTTGGCTTTCATTCGCAAACTCATTAGTGTGCATAATGTGCTCAAAGATATTCGAAGCAATTGCTCTTTTAAGTACACTCCACCACATACTTTTATGTGGGTGTGCGTGTGTATTTTGTGTCTGTGTGTGTGGGTGTGTGTGTAGAAGTGCTACCCCTGACGAACCCTAGCTGATTTATAATTCTTCTGCTGCTAATCACAAAATCTAGCACTAATTAGACGTACATTTGTGAAGGGCATAAAATCGATTTCAACTCTAGCAAGTCATAAATATGCCAAACATTTCTTATTTCACATTGATCACATTTTCCATTATGAGTGTCCGTTAATTGTGATTGATATTCGTATATTCCTGTAATAATTGTCCATATAAGAAATGTTCATGGTGCATTCAACATTTGGGTTCCAATTCCAATCCTGTTACGTAAGGATTAACGCATTTTTAAAATGTTTTACGGTATCCAGTTACGTATCATATAACTCTGTCGGTGTTTTAAATATATAATAAAATTGATAATTAAAAATAAATAAAAATAAATGAGAACGTTTCACCCGGACGCAACTTACTGCGAAATACTCAGATACCAGAGGACTACCAGTTGATAGAGGTTTCCATTTTGCATCTTGTATTTCAAATTCTTCTTACGGTATCCGGTTATGGATTAAACTCTGTCGATATTTTAAATGTATAATTAAATTTGATTGTAACTGACTGCGAGTAACTCAGATACCAGAATAACACCAGCTGATAACAGGCTGCACGGAGCCTTCTTGCATTTTAATACAAAAATTACCAGTATTTTTTATTTATAATGAATTCCAAACAGACTTGCAGCGGAGAAAAGGGATTAATCATAATTCCGATACGTACAAAAAAGATTTCAAATTTTTCTTTAATATAATAATATATATTTTCTCTTTATTCGTGTTTTGTTTGTAATAGTGAAATAGTAAATAATAAGTCGTTAAAGCTCAAATCATTATAATCTGCAGTACCCATGAATTCAAATAGAATAAATCACAAAAAAAAAAAAACAGATTTCAAGGTTTGGTGTAAAAGCAACTTTTTAGCAAAATTCAGGCTAATAGCTTACTGAATTTAATAGTTGTATGCCTTGAAATAGCTACTCATTCTTTTCTATCCAAAAGTAATGCTTATTATGGACATGATTGCTTTTTGCTGTGTTGAGGAAGTAACTTCCACAAATTATGTTTTTGGGTCTTTGCGACTTGAATTATGTGCCTGATGTTGTCAGCTTTTCTTTTGCCTACATAATTTTTAGCTTTTTCAAATAGTTTCAATGCCCGACGTCTTAACAAAAAATAAATAAATCTCTCAAGTGGTTTTTGTTGTGTTTGTTGTTGTTTTTTGTTGTGGATATTGTTTGATTGTTGCCCCAAATGCCCAGAGGCGCTAAATGCAGGAAAGAAAAAGTAGCGGAAGAGGCAACGCGCAATGCCGCAGACGCAAGAAATTTGTATACGGAATCTATAAATTTTGTCTTAATTTTTTGTTGTTTTTTTTTTTCTTTTTCTCATTTATAGCGCGTGATTTTTGATTTACGCGCCATTGGACATTTTATTTGGATTGGAGTGTTTGGTTTCCTCCCCAAGCACATATTTATTTTTATTTTTATTGCTTTTTAATGCGCCGCTGAGGAAGTTTTCTTCTTTTTTTCTTGTGGCAACTGCATTTGGGTATTTCCCCAAACCAAACTCTCCTCCAACCCCAACCCCTCTGCGTCGCTGTGCTTAGGCTGTGCGTGTGGATTGTTGAACAATGAATTTTGTGGGATTATATATGCATATATACAGATATGTATCTATCTATTCATACATACACTCGAAAAAAATTGATTTCATTAAATGAGGAAGTATTTCGGAATAAGAGAAAACTGTGGAACAATTTTCATAATTTTTTTTTGTGGTTTTCGACCTTTAAGAAATTTCATTAACTTATTTATTATTTCTTGTCTTATATGCATATATGTGTGCATAAATACACTCAAAAAAATTAATTTTCTTAATATGAGAAAGTAATTTTGAGTAAAAGAAAAGCGTTTTCTAAAAATGGATGGAAACGGAATTCATTTTGGGATTGTTGATGAAGAGTAAGCATTTTTCATTTTAGTCTTTCTTGCTTATAAAAAGTTGCCGTCATTAACGTTGTACACATAAATCGCTTGAATGACGTGTTCTTTAAGATATTAATTTCCTAAACATGTAAATTATTGCTTGTCATGTTTGCGTTTTTCTGAGTGTATTATGTAAATGCATGAGTTGGGGGCGCAACAATGGCGCTGCGGTGGCGCTTTATTTTAAATTCAAATGCGGCAATTGCCAGAGTGATTGCCACCTTATATCTTATATTTACTTGGCATCAGACTGTGACTGTGTCTGTCTGACTGTGTATGTGTGATGACTTTATGCCTTATAATGCTGCTCGTATTTATAATAATCATCAAATATTCCACTCTTGTCTTTTGTCACCCCACACACAGAACCCACAGCAACAGCCGCAAATGCAGCAGGCAACAAGCGCAGACGGAGCGAAGGACGACAACAGCAGCACGGGCAACAGGACTCTAGCAGCAGACGGAGCCACGTCCAAGGCGAGAGCCAGAGCCACGTCGTTAATCTATTTGCCGCCTTTCTGCTATACAGGCGGACATGTGCCTGCGGCCAGCAGCAGCGAGCTAAGCCCGAGTCAGCACAGCAGCTGCTGTTGGCAGCGGCGGGAATACGGCCAGCATAAGAATTATGATAAACATGCCACAGCGACAACGACGCTGATAGCAGCAAAAGTAGCAGCAGCAGCAGAAGTAGCAGGGCGCCCAAAGAACAAAGTAGCAGCAGCAACAGCAGCAGAAGTAGCAGCAGCAACAATGTTCTCATCCTTAATAAGAAATGCGTCGGTGGCGCGTAAATTCCTGCAGCGTGATATTCAGTTAGCCGCAATGGACGGCGATGACGATGCCGACGAGTGCTGCATCGATCTCAGGCAGGCGTCGCAATTAGTTATGCCAATTGTTGTAGGTGGTTGCTGCAACAACGTCTTGGAATGTCTGGCGGTTGTGCGGCGCCAACGACGTGAGCGAATGCGACGCGAACGACAAAGTCATGCGTCGACTGCCGCACTCGTCGTCTCCTCGCTGGCCACAACAACAAATTCAATCAGCAGCAACAGTGCAGCAGCAGCAGCAACAACAACAACAACAATAGCAGCAAGAGCAGCAACAAAAAACAGTTCGCAAACAACGACAACGGCATTGGCCACAAATGGCGCAATGCTGCCGCAAAATGTGGATGTAGCCGCAGCTGAGATGCTGGATAACGATGATGATGAAGATGAATGTAGGTGCTTTAACTATAACGGTGATATTAGTGCGCTGGAACGTCTAGAGCAGGAGCAACAGCAACAGCAGGAGCAAGAGCAACAGCAAATGGAGCGGCTTGAGTGGCATCAACTTCCTAGCATTACGTGGCTGAAATTCTGGCAGCAGCTGGCCAACAACGCCTCCAACTCCGACACCAATGCGACAACGAAAACAACGACGACGACTACGACGACAACAACAAGGAGTAGTGGGAGTCCGCAGCCAATCACAAGGATGCCAACGAGATGTGGCAACAACCACAGCATCAGCAGCAGCAGCAGCAGCATGACGTCGACAAAAAGTTGGCTGGGACCGCTGATGCTGACGCTGCTACTGGCCACGTCCGTAAGCGGCTGGGGCGGCCGTCAAGATGGTAAGTGGAGCGAGCAAGTTGAGGGGAGACTGCGCGTAACGCATGCCGATAAGTAGCGCTATGATAAGAATTTATAATTTGAATCGCGAACCCCCTACAACCCCCCACAACCACAACCAACCCAAAAACCTAACACTGTGGGTAAAATGCCCAATTTTTGTTGCGTGAATTAGTAACTACAAATGAAAGTTCTAGTTTAGTTTAGTTTATCTAAGCATTTGCTTGGCCGTTTTCAACAATCTTAAAGTTTAATTCTTGTTATTTGGTTGACAATCAAAACTTTCAACAATGGATCAAAATTTAATTGAATCTTTGTGTACGTAAAACTTGTTCACGAACTAATTTCCAATTGGTTTTGTTGACTCTTGTAGAAGGTATTAGAATTTTCTAGTGAAGTGAAAAATGCATTGAAGGAGTTGTCTGCGAACCAATAAGAATATGTATATATATATATATATATAATTGATTAGCATCGATAGTTGAGGCTTCTGCGCAAACTGTTGCCTCAGTTTTAAAGCTATTTTAATAAAACCTGGCATTTAGCCAACTATGCTAAATTTAACAAATATGTCGGAGCCTACCGGATCAAGTTACTATATTATACAGAGATTTTATTTTAATTTTTAGCATAATTTAGTTGACGTCAATTTGGCATTGGTCTACAAGATACCAATTTTTTTCTAATTATTATTATTATCATTTTTTTTAATCACACAATTACATTACAACATTTCCGTTTGAAATTATGTACACGAAGCTCTTTAAATGTTGAGCTAGAGTTAAGAGCATATTAATTTACGCCGGCAGCCAGCTTAATTATGTTATCTTAACTGCTGCTGTTGATTGTATTCATGTATTTGTGGTGCACAACATTTCAGTTTAGTGCGCAAGCATTTAAAATTGTATTAATTGTAAAACATTCTGTCAGATAAACTAGCCTATTGCTCGATGGTGCAGGGTCCGTTGCAGGGCAACACCCTCCCATCAAACTCCTCACTCCAAGTGTTGTTTGAACGACAAATAAGATTTCATTTAATTTTGAGCATAATTTTTAGTGTGCAACATAAAAAAAAAACGAAAGAGCAGAAAGCGTCAGCTGCCACAGCTTGTGTCTTGTGTCTGTCTGTGTCCCAACCCCCATCCCCCTGTCTCCCTATCTCTTTATCAGCGACAACCCCTCCGCCTTCCACATTTCCATCTGCGCCTCGGTCATGCTCAATTGAATCCATAAGTAGTTTTGTGACCACAGATCTGCGTGCTCGTATAATGCGTTTCAACTGTTTCAACATGAGCGAATTTACCCAGAAATCAACCAACAAAAAAAAGACAAAAACAATTTTTTTTTTATTCGAAAACAATAAGAAAACAGCAGTAGCAACAACAACAACAACAGCAGCAGCAGCAACAGCCGCTACAGCAACAAACAACAAGCGAAAACAACAACAAATGGCAAATTGTACGGAAATTGCCTGAAACAAACAGAAACAGTCAGTAACCGCTGGTCGACCACCGACCGCTGACCATAATTCACTCAAGTTAGACAAAAGCATTTCGGGGCGCTCTGGCTCAAAACCGCCAACCCCCACCCCCTTCTACACGCTACCCCCGCTCACCAGGCTGCCCTTATGCTCTACTTGCTAACCCAAAACCGAAACGAAAGTCCAAATTCCAAATGCAAACGCAAATGAGTCTAAAACGAAGCGTCATGCTCTTTGAGCTGCTCTTGTCAGTGTGTGTGTGTGTATCTGTGTGTGTATAGCCATTGTCCCGTCATCAATAAGGGTGGTCCAGCTTTGCGCCCTCAGCTAGAACTCTTGCCATAAGCACTTAATGTGTCCACACCCACAATACACACACATAGGCACACACACACAGACAAGGTGTGGTGCGGGGTGCGGAGAGGAAGCAGGGGCGTTTTAATTGGGTTAAGGAGCTGTTAGCGCGTTAAAGCTGTCATTACACATCCAGCGAGATCGAGAGATACAACTTGACCAGATAAGTGCACACATGTTGCAACAACAACAACAACAATTGTTTCTCGAACTGGTAAAAGTGACTGTCATAAAAGTTATGAGTAGTAGGTAAAACAATTATGTTATTTTTTTTATTGCTCTTATGCAGGGGTGTAAAACCGAAGCATATTTCTGTTTCGTTTCCGGTTCGGGTATGTAAAATGTAGATCAATGAATTGGTTTGAAAATGATTGTTTACACATTAATAATATCGGTTTCTGCAACTTCATTATATAGTTATTTCTTCTGATAAAATCTATCAAAAAAAATCATGTATTTTTAAAAGATATTTGTGGTCCTATATAAAGGCTGTTAAACCGAATCATATTCTGGTACGGAAACGTTAAGTGTAAAGGTTCTGGCCAACTATTATGATTTAGTTCTCATTTTTGTTACGTATTCGATTTTGTTCTGTTTTTATATAAACAATTAATATAGGTTTCTGTAACTTGTTGTTGCAAAAATGGTTCCAGTTGTGAATTTCAGTCGATAAAATTGCGGTTCCGGTTCCACTTTTATGACCTGGCTTATAGTCAACTAATTAAACTTAATTGCTTGCATATTATGCGATATACTTGAATGGACTTTTTGTACAACATTTTTACTGCTTTTGAGTTTTGAAAAATTGTTTGTACTTTTAAAATATATACAACAAGACTCAAGACTTCTGAGTAAAGTAAAGAAAAGGAAGCATCGACTCCATAAAATACAACCGCTGAGTTGATCTAGTCATGTCCGTTCTTCTATATATATACATATGATTGACTGTAAACAAGATCAGTTGTTCGGGCAATTTTTAATCGATTTAATAGTCTTAATGGCTGGGATCAGAGTATCTCTTAGTCGAACCCTCTCGACTAAAATGATTTTATTTGTTAATATATATTCATAAATATATGAAGCCTCTATTGTGAACATATTATTTGTAAAGGATGTTGACACAGCACTGATTTCGAAGCTCTTTAAGAGAGCCTGTAGTTGAAAAGTGTAAAGTTCTTTAAATGAAAATTCGCAAAAAAGGCTTATTCTGTGGCAATATATCCGATGAGGCTTTAGGCTACGATACGATGTTAATGCCCTCGATTACTGTCAGTTCTCGATGAGAGCGAAATACCAAATGCAACTCTTTGAGTTACTTAAATATTTTCTTTTCCCATTTTCTCGTTTTCCGGTTTTCTTTTGTGCCCACTCCAGTCCTTGCGAGAGCCCCTCAACGTATTTGAGCCACTCTAATCCACACGAAACATGCCAAAAAAAAAAATACATATATAAATATATATATATATATATGTATATATACTTAAACATCTATGTTGGTGTGTGTGTGTGTGTGTGTAAAGCCCGTTATTTCAACTGTCCATACGTATTTGCACGCTTGTCTGTCCGTCTATCTGTCTGTTTGTCGGTCTGTCTGTCTGTCGTTCTGTCTGCTTGCTTGCGTTGCGTATATTTTTGTTATATTTGCTTTTAGCGTGTAGTTTTATTCGGGTTCTTGTGTCCTGCAGCTAAAATTCAGGGGTAGCTGCCGCTGTCGTTGCTGCTGCTGCGGCTGCTGCTGTGTTGTGGTTGCTGCTGCTTCTGCTGCTGTGGCAGGCACTCAGGCAAATGTATTGAATCATGTTGGAGGAATTATGCACGCCACTTGAAATTGGCGAAACAATTACAACGCGCGGCTCGCTTCGCTTTTGGGCTGCCCTGTAAAGTATGCTACACTTTATGCACACACACACACATGCGTGTGTAGGCGGGCGGGCGTTGCCGTTGGAGGGAGGGAAGGGATTGCCAATGGGGCCGCGCATTATGACAGCTACAGAAACAACAGCAACAACAGCAACAACAACAACAACAATAACAACAGCAACAACAACAAACTCGCTCGCTGAACAAATGTACAAGTCATTGGACAATGGAACAGCGGGCGCAGGGCAGACTTCGGTTAGCCGGGGGGAGGGTAGGGAGCAGAAAGATTGAGGGGGGGCTCAGAGTTCACAGCGTTTCGCTGATCCTGCGCAGGAGCACCTTTTGTTTGCCACAAATGTGGAAAACAACAAAACGTAAATGAAAAAAACAAAAAAAAAACGGAACAAAAGCAACACAAAAATAAAAAGTAAAAAGTAAAACAAAATAAAGTAAAGTAAAATAAAAGGCAAGGAATAATAAAATAAAATGTGTATCGCTGTATGCTATATATATTTATATATATATATGTATGTGTGACTCTGCACGAATCGACACACACACACACACACTATCACATCTACTTGTGCTTGGCGACTTTTGTATATTTGAATGCGTAGCGCTCGGCTTCGGTTTTTGGTTTCGGTTGCCGTTGCCGTTTCGGTCGCTAGTCCCGGCTGGCTAGCACACTCCCCCCACACTACCCTCTCTACGTCCCGTTCAGCGCACCACCCTTAAGCCCAATGCTGGCTGGCAATTGTGCACACAGAAACAGAACACAGGCATAAAGCTACAATCGCCTGGCCAACATCGAGGGTGGTTTTACCATTTCGTGTGTATATTTGTATGTATTGCATTGGATATACTTATTGTTTTCGCTTTGTATGTATGTGTGTGTGTGTGTGTCTCTGTGTGTGTGTGTGTGTGTGTTCAGCCCTGTTGTTGCCTGCTCTTAGCTTGGGCTGTGCTTGTGCCGCATGCCTTTAGCCTAACGATTCGTTTTCTTTTGCCTTTCTTCTATGCATTGGCTTCTCTACTCGCTGATTCTCTCTCTCTCTCTTTCTCACTCTCTCTTTATGCTTGATTCTACTTCTTTTTTTTTAATATTCACAATTGCCATTTCGGTAGTTTTTATGCCATCGAGCATGAGTGTGCGTGTATTTGTGTATAGCTGTGTGTGTGTGTGTGTGTGTGTGTGTGTGTGTGTGTGTGTGCAACATTATTATTATTACGAGCCGTTTCTGGTTGTGTGTTGCTGCCGCCTTGTTCAACTTATTTATGCGCCCTTGCGCTGGCAGAGGGTCGTAAATTGTTGGTCTCTTAGAGGCAAATATATACATATATATTTTTATATATATATTTATATATATATAAACACATAGACACACACACACGCAGGCAGGCAGGCAGGCACTTATAAACTGACACTTATGCGCACGCACTTAAATACAATCATAATAATAATAATTGAAACAATTTATAAATTAAAAAGCCACAAATCTTGGCATAAAAATTGACATTACAATTATTAGAAAAGAGCAAAGCGAAGAAAGTGAACAACGGCATTTATTTTATTTATTACGTTTTTGGGTAGCCTCGGCCAGATTGTTGATTATTGAAACATTTTCGGGAACTGCTCTTTTATGTGTGTGTCTTGTTGCCGATGCTGATGCTGGTTAGTGTCGTTAAATGAACAATGGACCGCAATTGAGGTCACATTGAGGAGCACAGCACACACAGAATTGTTGTGCAATTCAAAGATCGTTCACTTATTTGGCTATTAAAACGTTTATAAATATATTTATATATTCATAATTTAATAGGCTTGCCGTTATTTGTTTATTAATAAATATGTATTCCGCTTGCAGCGCCCACAAATTGCACATTTCCGGCCAGATGGGAGGGCTCCTGGTTCCTATCGGGCTATCAGCAATCCATACACATCAAGGGATCACAGTTCAGCTATCGCGGCAGGTGTGCGGCCTCCGATGGTAACAAATATCTGATTGTCGATGAGTAAGTACAACCCCAAAACAACAACAATAATAACAACAACAATATGAACAACTACAACAACAACAAATAATAATCCTACTACAGTCTCCTGTATATGTATGTATGTATTTTATATATATGCTAAATCAACATTGGCTGGCAAAAAAAAAAGAAGAAAGAAAAAAAATTAGATTGAGTGCAAGATAAATCATGTTAATCAACAAGATGAAGATGTTAAAGAGAACCAGATAAAGAAGAACAAGAACAAGAACAAGAACAGGCGTCAGAAGTGTACTTGTGCTTGTACTTTGTGCTTGTACTTGGCTGCTCCCCCCTTTTATTTTTGTAGGTTATACACATCTATGTTTTGTACCAATTTTGAACCATTTGACTTTTGAGTGTGTGCTGCGCCAAGTGCCTGTAATTGAATAAGTTTTCGTTTTGTCAACTGAAGAAGCAAGTGGCTGCTGCTAGCTGCTGTAAACTGTGCGAAGGTAAGAGCCAAGCTAAATGCAGGCAGTCAACAGTCAGCAGTAGCAGCTCTAGCAGGGCAACAGAGTAACCCCATTAAGAAGGAACGTCAAATGGTGCTGCTGCAACGTTGGCCAATAACTGGGCGCCATTTGGCTCTCACACACAGTCTCACTCACTAACTCACACAGAGCGCAGAGGCATTGACGTGGATACATACATATGAACATATATACACATACACATACACCTACATATATCTATATGTAGTTAGATATACTAGGCGGCACTGCCTCGAAAAACCTGTCGTCAGAGCATTCTCGTCTCGACATCTGCTTCTAACTTTGCCTATGAAACGAGTTTGTTTTTCCCTACCGTTCCGCGTTCCCCCTTCCCCCGCTTTCCCCCTTCCTCTTATCGCCTCTCTTGTCTCTGTGTGAGTTTCGTTTCAATGCCCGAGTCAAGCCAAAGTACCAAAGTCTGAAACTAGCCAATCTAGCCTTCTACCTTCCTTTATATATATATGTATATATTTTTTTGTCGTGTACTCTTGTAAATGCTCTAAAGTAAAACTAAATCATGCAACTTTTTTATAGGTTTAAAGGTGCCATCGCGCAACATTCCTTAACCTCCTATGCATCTTTTGTTTAGTACCATAAATATATATGTACATATATATTTATATATAACAACTTTGCTTTTTGTACATTAATTCGAAAGAATTTGATTTAGTTTTGAATGATTTTTTTTTTATGGTAAAACAAACGTAACAAAAGTTATCATAACTCTTGGCTGCTATAATAATCTTAAGTTTTTCTTTTTACTTTTGTTTTTGCCATGTTTCCAATTACATAATATCTATAACTATATACATCTATATATATAAATAAGAAATAATCCTATGCCTAAGCAACAAGGTCATGCGATTTTTGAGTTGTAGCTGAAATGTGTATATATTTTTGTTAATATTCTGATTTTGAAACTTTTTGTGGAAAGAAAACCAAATGGATGTAATTTGACATCCGCTTGTGTTTTTTTTCTTTTTTGTGTAACCATTTTTTATAATATAAACGGAAATTTGACTAATTTTTTGTAACAATTTTTGTCGTGTACTCCATTTATTTTCATCTAAATAATACTAATTGTAACATATTGAAAACAAATCCAGTTTAAGTATCGTACTACATATGATCGTATGTGCCATTTACCAATTTACCAACTAGGAAACTAACAAAAGCCCCAAACATATTGCCTAACCTCTCTCAAAAAAAAAAAAAAAAACCAAAACAAAAACCAAAAAAAAAAAAAAAAAACATCAATTTTGATTTTGAAATGTTCAATTGAATTATTACAGATTGTTTAACATCACTTTTGAAGAACATATATTTTGTTAACTCTTCAGTTATTAAGTGTACGTCCTTTCAGTTCGTTGTTATAATCATTTTCAGTTTCATACAATCTAACGAAAAATATATAGCTTCAATTGATCAAAAGTAGCCAATTTGGAACTGGGTTGGCTTCAAAACAAAAACAAAAACAAAACCAAAAACAAAAACATATACACAACTACATACAAGTATATCTAAATATACATATATATTTATATATGTATATATGTATATCCAACCAGCATCCATTTTGGTTCACACACATATAGAATCCTATATACTATATACTACATGTTGCTTCAGTTTTTTGGGATCAAGTAACTCTATAAATCACTGGGTTTAAAATGTAGTCGGGTGTCGTCTCCTGCTTCATTTGCACTACTACTACTACTACTACTACTACTACATAAATATGTATTTTAAATAACGAAATATCGAAAACATTTCATTCATCCCATATATATACCAAACAATATATGAACATGAATTTCCAACTAAAGTTAAGCAGCCTCGATTTAAGTCAACTTTACTAAACGCTTATTGTTTTTACATTCAAGTGTCTACCGAAAAAACTTTTTTGCCAAAACCGATAACAAGCCAACAACATAAAACATACAGTCCAACACAGTACAGTCCAGATCAAAATCAGATAAAAGAAAAGAAGAAGAAAAAAACAACAACAACATACATATGCCAACGCCCATACCAATACCAATTACCACAAAACAAAATAAAACTTACTAATATATACAAAAAAAAAAACCAAATACAAAATACAAAACTTTTCCGTTGCAACCCAAAAACTTTTTTAGGAAAGGATGTCATCGTTGCCTGGTTATCTATGAGAAGCATAAGAATGTGCTCCAGTATAAAGAAAGTGAGTGCGAAGGTGATAGTATGTATATGCATCAGTCGAATCCATCTGCACTGGCGATGCGTAGCTCTATAAAACAAAGTGATCATAGGGGGGGAGCTCATCCCAATACGAACGGGCATTCAAGACTATCATCATCGGATCAGTACATAATGAGATCCAATGACGATATGAATGATTGTAAGCATTAACTTTATATTTTTTATTACTTCTAAACTTAAGCAAAATACCAAATAATACAAAGACTCTATCTCTTTTAACTCGCTATCTAAAAATACCAGTTTTCTTTTCTTTTCGTTTTTTTTTTTCGTTCATTTCACCTCTTAAACATTTCGATCTACTCCTCAGTTAAACCAACATGACTAACATAACCTTATCATTGAATCGCATTTATTAACTATTTTCGTTTTATTTATACCCCTATATTATTATTACAATTATTCATTTTATTTTTAAACAAAAACAAAAACAAAAATACAAAAGTTTTTTGCATTCGAAAGGCTGACAAAAGAAGAAAAAGAAGAAGAAAAAAAGAACACATAAACTGAAGGATTCTCTAATTTTGTATTTTGAAAAGTATAGTTGATTTTGTAACTTTAAATATAATTTATTCAATTATTATAAATATCTATTTATTTTTTATTTTTATTTATTTAACGTATTTATTTCTTACGTTGGCCTTAAAGCAACAAATTTATTTTGTTTCGTTTTTGAAAAAATAAATATCAAACCAAACCAAACCAAACTTGTAAATAGTCTCAAAACAAACAAATTACTCTGCATACGAAAATGATATATATCAAAATCAAAATTCTCCCCGTTTACGTTTGTCATGGCAAAAGGAGGGTCCTCTCTTTCTCTCTCTCTCTTAAACTCGAACTCACTTTAATCAATCAATCAAGCAAACAAAATAAAAATAAAAATAAAAAAGTAAAAATAAATTAATATATGTATATATATATAAAACAAAGAAAACAACAATACGAACTGTATATTTTTCTCAACATATCACACGTTGCAATTTATCCAAACGATACAATTTACAACTTAAACAACAACAGCTATCCATATATCAACTATTTATCGTTAGTGTCAATCCAATTAAGCTACTTAGTTGCGATTCTCAAACGTATTAGCGGATTAGCAGATTAACCCGTCCCAACAGAACCAAAAAAAAAATAGAAAAAAAAACAACAACAAAAAAGCAAACTAAACGCAATAAAGCCTAAAATATTTGACATAAACGACAAAAGCCGATAAAGGAAATTAAATATAAAAAAAAAAGAATACGCGAATCCGAACTTACCCGAAAAGAATTTAAGAAAACAATAACCGACTTAAGTTAAACAAATCTTGTGTTTTGTCTTAATTTCTGCTTGGTTTCCGTTTTTATTTCGATTTCGTTTTCAAGTTATCTGTAAATAATTAAAAATTTAAAGAAAACCAAAAAAAAAAAAATACAAATAAATTGTGTAAATATATTAACAACATTTTCTTAACGAATTGAATTGTTTGTTCTGAATATATTTTTTACGAAAAACATTTACATATACATATATCTATATATATTTGCAAACTCTATTCAATATTTATATGATATGTATATTTTTTACTTTTACTTCAATATTTTTAAACAATTCCCAACTACAACAACAGCAACAGCAATAACTAAACAACTACAGCAAACATCCAACAACAACAACAACAACCAGAACAAGAACAACAACCACGAATACAAATCGATTTCAATTCAGCATTTCAAATATGTACAAAATATATTCGATATATATTTTGATTTTACTTTTTTCCGTTTCTGTTTCTATATATATGTGTGTGTGTGTGCGTGTGTGTGTGTGCGTGTGTGTGTGTTTGTATGCTGTATAAAAATTGAAAATGTGAAAAGCTAACGAAAATATATATATATATATATATATATATATAAAAAAAATGTGCACATACATAGAAAATCTACCGATTGGATTGGGCTTATGGAAATTTGCATTTGAAAATGGTTGTAATCAAAAGTTTTGAAAGGCCGCCATACAATTCGTATAGTTATTGTACATATAACAGAACATTAAACGCACCTAAAAACTACTCTTACTATTATTAATAATAATACATATATGTGTGTATATATATATATATTTGGTATTTACCCGTACTCGTACATAGAGCTTTATACGTAAAACCTTTAAGCAAACTTGTATTTTGTTGGCCCAAATGCCACATTGCATTGGGCCGTGTCGTTTTTCGACTCATTTGTAAATAAAAACTCATCTAAATTCATGCAAATTCAAAATACAAAAAACACACAGCACCCGGTTCCCATAGTTTATCCAATTATGGATAGTCGAGCAAAATGAGAGCACCTTTACAATATTTACTGTGCTTCAATGCGTCGGCATTATTATCATCTGGCGCAGCTGCGGGGTTTTCCTAGAACTTCGATCTAGTCTTAAAACACACACCACAGTTTATCACTCTGGTCTAAAACACACACGTAGACACACACACCCACACACACACACCAACACACACACACACACCAAGTTTCTCACAGATATCTCACTGTAAATTCCATTCCATCAATCTCACAGAACGCTACTCAGAATTTTTGTCAAAAATATATATATTGTCTCGCAAATATATATTGAAAATATAAATATGTATTTACTTATTGCATACATAATAATCCTATACAGAATAATGGTCCAAAGGAATCTTTTTTCTTCAGTTCTTCTGCAAAGTTCACCAAATTATTTGCACGTTCAGCGAGTTTTCAGTTGGTCGTCGCTAACCGATTTGCGCATTTCATTTGTTTCTTTGTTTTCAATTGTCGCTCGAACATGATTTATTTATAAGTCTTCACGCAATGCCACCAACCAAAAATACCGAATTCCGTAAAAACCAGCAGCAGAAACCGAAACTGAAACTGAAACAGAACCCCACACTCTGAGTCATGTTATGTGTACGTCTCCACCACACAAGTATGTATGTATGTACGAATGTATGTATGTATGTATGTATGAATTTATGTACGCTTTTCATTTTATTTCGGGAAAAATCGTAGCTTTAATTTTTAAACGAAAAATCTCCAAACTAAAAGCCGGTTCTACGTGTATTAAGCACTTGACGTGAACGTCGATACCCTGCAACAAAATGCGGTAAAGTGAATAAAAAGGGTAGCATCATCGATCGTAAATTTATATTGCATATATAAACGAGTATCAAAATGCCTCGAAGCTTTATTCTAATATCCTTTTCGACAATGATATGCCGAAAAAAAAACTTCTTCAGATATTTTAAGAGAAAGGTTATGATTAGTTTGAAAATAATTACTGAATATTGTTAAGAGTTGAATATAAATTAAAAATCATTTTCATAGCTCCATTTAAGGAAGTATAAGCAAACAAACTTCTAAAATTTTAAAAGTTAAAATTTCGTTCGATTGACTAAAGTCATTTTCTGATAAATATTTCTGGATACATATTCAAAGTAGTTGTGAAAATTGTTCTCAACATAAAATCATTTCACAGATGTGCTTGAATATCTTCTGAAAATTCTTCTAGTTAAATTATATAAGCTCAAAAGTCATTCAGTACCCCAGATATTTAGCAATGTGGAAACGCAGTTTGTATGCAATTATATAGGACAACTTTTAGTCGTGCCCTGTGCTTCATTGTTCACTCTTTGGTTGTATGTGCGCGTCAATCTCTCCCTCTCGCTCTCTCTCTCCCTCTAGCTCTCTCTCTGTCTGGCTGTCTGATTGTCTGTCTGTCTATTAAATTTGTGTGTGAATAGTTTTAGCTATCCAATCCCTTTGAGTGCAGTCTAGAGTGCTACAGAAATAGTACAAATATACATAAGTATGCTGGCTGGCAGGTCTGGCAATGGTCGGTCTCCTTTGCCAGTGCCTCTTGCTTGTCCTGTTCTGGCTTCTAGCTGATATTTATGTAAAGCCCAACTAGTTCAGTTGTTAATTGCTGTAATCCGCTTACTAGTCATGTCAAGTGTGCTGAAGTTTTCGCTTGTCTCCACGTCACCCACTAGACACACTAGATGCAATTATAGCCAACTAATTGTATGGCTTAGACCATAATTGTATGCGAATATATTGCACTGCCACATAATGCAAGTGCAACAGCAGCTGTAGATGTTACAGTGCCAGTGCCCGTTCTGGCCAAGTGTAGTATGTTCTTCACTTGGCTTAAACAACGTGGGCAGAGGAGGGCGGGTAACTACGACGACGACGACGACGACGAGACGAGACGAGCACGCATGGAAATGTAAATTCATTATTTATTATTTGTTTGCCTCAATAGAAATCAAATTAGTTTAAGTGGTGCCCCAGAAGCACCAACACCAGACCCTCGTGTCAGACCCTGCTCCGCTTCCAGTCAACTTGTGACTCGATTTGAAAGCGCCAACTCACGAAGCCGCCAGCCCACTTATACGCCCACCGCCCCCACAAGATTTTGCTCCAATTTAATATATACATTTATGTATATATAACTTGGGCCAACCTAACTGAATAACTGACTAACTGACTGACTGACTGACTGACTGACTGACTGACTGACTTGACAGTCAGTTTGTTTTTTTTTTTTTCATTTGATTTTGTTTAAATATTAAACAAGAGTTTTAGATCTCATTTATAATTCAAAGGACAGGCAGCGTGCAAGGGGTGGGCGGGGGGCGGCTGTTTATTTTGATTAGCAGTCCGTAAAACAATCGCTTCAATATCACAATGGCATTATTAGGTTTATGTCATTATTTGCTCGCTGACTATTACATACGCAGGCGTGTGTGTGAGTGTGTGTGTGTGTGTGTATATATATGTGTGTGTGTATATATATGCCTACGGGCATGAATGCGTTTTGATTAAAAGAGCAGCTTCCAATATTCAAAACTCTGTGCAAGCACACTCCACAAAGCCGAACGTACCACACACAGAAACACACACACACACACACAGAAACACACACCCACACACACATAGAAACACACACACAGAAACACACACACATGTACACACTTTAAATTGCTTTACTCGAACATTAAATCTGCAATTATTGAATTTGGTTTTAGGCAGATTTCCGCAATTTGGCCAAGACAAAGGTTAATTGCACAGGCAACAACAGTTTCAATTACTGTCAGAGGCGGCTTCCAAATCGGAT